TGAAGTGTCTGCAGCGGGGCCTCTGTCGGGGGAAACTGAGAGGAGTGAGGGGCAGCCCGGAGCCACCCCTCGACACAGGGAACACAGGAAGGACCAGGCCCTGGAGGAAGGGGAGGGAGGGACCGGGGGAGACCAGAGACAAGGACACGGGAAGCCATGCCTCGGAGACGAGGCAGGGAGGGGTGACCAAGACGGTGGTGCCACAGGAGAGTCTCGTGAGACATGAGGCGACACGAGCAGGGGGCAGACTCAGGACCAGACCTGGACGCTGCAGCAAACACCTGACCCGACGCAGCTACCTGGCTAGACGCAGGGACAGGAGGAGACCCAGTGGTCAGGGTGTAGAGGCTCGACCCCGGCCAACGCGTAAACGTGGCCAGGTGACGACCTGTGCGAGCGTCCGAGCAGTGGGTCACCCGCTGACTCGCAGGAGTAAACTGGTGAACCCCTGCATCCTGCAGGTCAGCACCACTCACCAAGTTCGTAGAGAACGAGGGGAGGTAAAGACCAGACAAGGTGCCAGAGGGGGCAGCCGGACACGGGAGGACAGTGGAGAAGTGAGAGAGGACAGGACCCCCAGAGGGGTCTGCCAGGGAGACTGCAACCGGCCGACCAAGCGGCGTGAGTGTGGTGCGGTCTCGAAAGAAGGAGCGAGAAGCCCCTGAGTCAAGTGTGAAGGTGAGGGAGGCCGAAGCCGAGGTGGTACCTGAGAGCGCAGACTCACCAGCACCTGAGGGCGCAGAGGCACTAGCACCTAGAGCAGTAGCCTCACCAGCACCTAGAGCAGCAGTACCAATGCCCGGGTCGGGCGGGAAACACCGGTAACAGTCACCCTCATCACTTATAGTCACATCATACATGGCAGCAAGGATAGCATCAAAATCAAGATCATAGATAGCTACGCCTGCCTAGAAATCTCTCCCCAGCGGGGGATCTCACTGGCCTCCGGGAACTGCTGACGCCAAGCGTCCGTCAGGCGGCCAAAGTAGCGCTGGGTGGGGTGGGCACCCCCACACTACTCACCCGCGCGGTCGCCGGAGCGAAGGACGTAGGTGCACGGACCAAAACCCCCACCACGCTGACGCTGCGCGTACCACTCACGGAGCTGCAGAGGGGGGGGAATGTCCCGAGAACGCTGCTGCTGCTGGCGCTGACCACCACCAAGGCTGCTCCGCTGCGAAGCGCCACCCCGACCACCTCCACCTCCTCCACCACCGCCTCCTCCACCTCCACCACCACCGCCGCCTCCGCTAGCACCGTCGCCGCCTCCGCCGCCTCCGCCTCCACTACTGCCACCGACACCTCCACCCCCGCCACCACTCCCACCGCCACCCCCACTCCCTCCGCTGCCTCCACCGCCACCTCCACCGCCCCCGCTAGCTCCACCCGTGCCCTTGCCTCCCTTGTCCTTGCCAGAGCGGCGTCTCCCGCAAGGGGCAGACGCCGCACCGACCAACTCAAGACCAACGAGGTTGGCCGCAGCGGCAGAGGCGACAGAGGGCAAAAGGGGGGAAGGAGAACACCCCTCAAAGATGGGGGTGCGAGGGTCACCACGAGAGGCTCCTACAGCGACTATGCTCTTCTCCGCTGCTAGGAGGGCCTTCTCTAAGAGGTCAACAGTGAGAGTGGAGGGACAGACTGCGAGGAAGTGATCCCTGACTACACGAAGGGAGTCAGGGAGGCGAGTGACTATATAATAGAGAGTGATGTACATGGGGGGGGGGGGGGGGGGGGGTTCTTGGTGCAGAAGTCAGCAGGAAGCGCGGCGCGGTAGCGAGTGTCACTAGTGCGGAGGTGCGTAATGAGGTCAGCGACTGTGGGAAAGGCAGCAAGGTCAAGGAAGAGGTACGGTAGCATGAGGCGGCTCAGTGCAGCAGTGGCAGGGGAAGAGTAGCGCGCAACTACAGCGTCGTACAAGGTCTGAGCACTCTTGCACTGACTAAAGTGCGCGCGTTCAGTGGTAGGCAGGTGGCGACGGACAGCAAGATGTGCAGCAGCATCGCGCGTGGCCCACTGGGAGCGAACAGTGGGGTCAGCATCAGCAGCAGGGGCAGGAGAGGCGCCAGAGGTGAGGTCAAAGAGAGAGAGACCGTCTGCCCTATCGCATTGTAAGAACAGCTGCAGGTCGTCGACCCAGACCTCAAAGTCAATGGCTCGACCCTCAGCGTCAAACGCGAGGACACTAGGGGTAGCCATGGCAACAGTAGACTAGCAGTACGAACTGTAGGACAGGGGCAGTGCAGTGACAGAAGCGCTGCTCTCACCAGACAGGGCGGTTCAGGCAGCTCAGTAGCACAGCAACACGGCAACACGGCTGCTCAGACGGCTCAGCAGCAACTGCGGCTCCGCGGCACCAGCGGCTCGGCTCCTCAGGCGGCTCGGGCGGGTCGGGCGGCTCGGGCGGCTCGGGCGGCTCGGGCAGGTCGGGCGGCTCGGGCGGCTCGGGCGGCTCGGCTCCTCAGCGGCTCAGGCGGCTCGGGCGGCTCGGGCGGCGCGGCCGCTGAGACGGGCGGCGGGGCTGCAGCGAAGGGCGGCGGGGCCTTAGTGTGAGGCGGCGGGGCTGCAATGTGAGGCAGCGGGGCCGCAGCGAAGGGCGGCGGGGCCGCAGTGAAGGTCGGCGGGGCCGCTGAGACGGGCGGCGGGGCCGCAGCGAAGGGCGGCGGGGCCGCTGAGAAGGGCGGCGGGGTCGCAGCGAGAGAGGCGACGGGGCCGCAGCAAAGGGCGGCGGGGCCGCTGAGACGGGCGGCGGGGCCGCAGTGAAGGGCTGCGGGGCCGCAGCGAAGGGCGGCGGAGCCGCAGCGAAGGGCGGCGGGACCGCAGCGAAGGGCGACGGGGCCGAATCGACGGGCTGCGGGGCCGCTAGGGCGGCTCGACGAAGTGAGAGCCCGGAGCGCGACTCGGGGTGAGTGCGCTTCGGGCAGGAAAAAAAAAAAAAAAAAAACTCGATGTGGTGGGCCCTAGGCACAGTTCCCACGGGGGAACCTGCTCGATACCATGAGGAAATTAGAACGAGAATGAAATGACTATGGAATGAAAGTGATACAAATATGCAACCCTAGAAATGTGTACCCCATATGGGCTACCCCACTAAAGCCTAGACAACATTATAATTTGTCACTTGGGCCACTTGGGCCACTTCACCTCTTGGATCACTTGCAGTGGAAGATTCGTTAGCGTGGCGACAGCGAGATTTTGGGATTTACCAGCGTGGCGACAGCGAGATTGTGGGAGGGGGGATATCTCGGCTGATTCTAAGTGAAAGTACATGCGACATTTCTTCTAGGGAGTGATTTTCGCAATATCCTCCCGTAAGGAATCGGACTCGATAACAGCTATACTAGGAATCTATAAGAAAAGGGGGTGTTATAGAGAATCACCCCAAAAATGGGGGTATAGTTCTAACGGGGTCGGATATAACACCCACCCCGTATAAGCTACCCGGGGGTATACAATTACGGGGGGGTGTTTTATCCGGGAGAATACGGTAGCGGGTCAGTGCGCCCATAACCCCCCAGGCCAGCGTGCTTGTAACCCTTCCCTATGATCAATCGGGGATCACTAGTGGACTTCTGGCACTTTTCTCACTTGTTGATCTTCGCTGCACGCTCTATATGAGCTGATGCGTTACTGGTACATGAGCTGTTTCGTTATGAATCAATGCGCTAAGGTTGTTCCAACAGCTGGTGCAGCGCGTAAATTCTGGTTACGGTCAGCGAAAAGTCGGTTGTTGGTTTCTTGACCAGGACCTACTTTTGGATTTTAGGTACTCTGAATTCCAGAGTGGTTTTTTTGCCAACTCTGAAATATAGGGTTATTCTTACGCCTCACTCTGAGTGGTCAGAGTAACCCTATGTTCTGGGAAAAAAACTCAGGCACGTCAGAGTAATATTTTGCTTTACTCTGATGTTAGTTTACTAAGGTGTATGATCTGTATGGGTAATTTGTTACGCCTTTCAGAAACTCCAGAGTCCAGACCCGTCATAGGGCGAGAGCTGCATGACGGGCCGGGATCAGGTTCAGGCGCAGCAGCGTCAGCGTTGTCTGCATTGAACAGGGTGCGGAACAGAGTGGGGAGACGCGTGGCTGTGATGTTGGGGTACGCAAGGCACCTGATGGATTGGGGAAATGGGTGGAGAAACTGTGAGCCAGCCGAGCACTAGCAGGCCTTGGCGCCAACACTCGAACGAAATCTGGATGGTGTTCTCGGCGACTTGGGGAAAACCCGATATTCGGGAGAGGGGGGGAGGGAGGGGGGGGGGAGGTGGGGGGGGTGGCTAGGGGGCATGTATCCTCTGTACAGAGTAAACTCGGTCCTTAGAATAAAAACCCAGAGAGCTCAGAGTACCGTAGCCTACAAGAAAACTCTGATAAATCAGAGAAAACTAAAATTTTAAAAGCAAAACCCAGCAGATACAGAGTTCCTTTCAAAAATGACTCTGATTTTCAGAGAAACAGAGTAATTTACTCGGAAAACGTGGGGCCTGTTCTTGACCCCCTTTGGTCATATGCTCTACATGAGTGTAACGCGATAAGTGGAGATTGCAAATCCATAAAAGAACCTTTTGGTTATTCCAACAAGTGGTTAATACATGGAGTACAATCTATTTTCAATATTTATATTTTTGTGACATAAACGCTGCTATTCCATCTCTGTCGCTGTTGTGTTGTCTCAGATTAATTCCTAGCTGTAACGAGACTTCCTAAAATTCATCCACGTTTCCTGTCACAAGCCCACTTCCTCCAAAGAGCTGGGACGACAAATTCTCGCACACACTACGTTGAGGGCGATACATTAGTCCTCGCTTTTGCGCCGTACTTTTGGCGGGTCGTCGGTTAAGTCACAAGCCGCACACGCGAAATATGTAGCGGCGTTTATGTATGCCAACATTGCGGCGAAATATAAAGTTCAGAGACTGTTCTACACTTGCCTGCAGCACGTACACGTACACGTGAAATAACGCCCAACTTACATCAGCCGTGGCCCCATTGCACTCGCCTCGATGGACGGGCAGAGCGGAACGAGCGGTGAAGCG